CTCTATTTCAGACAAAATTTAAAAACAAAATAAAGGTGCTTGCCATTTCTGAGGAAATTATTAAAAAGAATTCTACTCAAGACAATCGACCCTGTCATCACATAGCACCAAGAGCTACTTCACTACTACTACCACTGTTGCTACTACACTACTACTACTGCTGCTACTACTACACTACTACTGCTGCTGCTGCTACTACATGGGTCAGTAAGCCTACTGCAGTGCTTATACTCTTTCACCTAACATTATATCTTATATAATTTGTGTCCTTGTACTGTTTGTAACTGCTTGACAAAGTTTATGGAGAATGAAATGTTACCACAATAAAAATGTCACATTAGTTGCATGTATGTTCTTTTCCTAAGGTATGTGTTGATTAAAGAGTAGTAAAAGATGAGGAGGGATGCTTGGAGGATATAGAGAATGCCCACTGTCTTGTTTTTTCTTTATTATAGATGCTCTGGATGTTTGATGAGTTTTACTTTGCTGTCCAGGTGCATACCCAAAAATTTACCCTCATCCTGCCTATTGATTGGTGTATTGTTAATCTTAATCTTTATGTTTGAATGAACATTGTTAGCTTTGTGCTCAAACATTATGTGTATGTATAAGGTTTTGTCACTATTTAGTGTTTGTTGTGATCGAAGTACGTAAATATTTTTGCAAGTTTGACGTTTACAGTGTTGAGTGCAACCGGTCGCTGTTTGATGTAATAAAAGCTGTCACCTGCAAAAAGAATTGGTTTAAGTCTCTGTGAAGGATTAGGACGGTCAGTGATGAACAGTAGACAAGGAGGAGCAGAGGGTCTAGGAACCACTTTGATTGATCAGGTTGCTGAACAACAGTCATTAATGGTCACATGTCGATGTCTGTCACTCAGGTAAGATTGAATGTATGATAGGAAAAGAGCAGAGTGTGAAATGAGATTGTAATGCAGTTAAATGTTAGTATTGAGGGAGAGAGTATGGAAGAGGTGGGAATGGACATGTCAGCGGATGGGTCTATGAAGGATGAGGCGAATCACAGAATTGACGAGGGGAAAAAGGTGAGTGGTGCACTGAGGAGTCTGTGGAGACAAAGAACTTTATCCATGAAAGCAAAGAGGGGAATGTATGAGAGTATAGTTGTACCAATGCTCTTGTAAGGGTGTGAGCCATGGGTTGTGAATGTTGCAACTGGAGGCAGTGGAGATGTCATGTCTGTGGGCAGTGTGTGGTGTGAATATAATGCAGAGAATTAATAGTTTGGAGATTAGGAGGAGGTGTGGGATTACCAAAACTATTATCCAGAGGGCTGAGGAGGGGTTATTGAGATGGTTTGAACATGTAGAGAGGATGGAATGAAATAGAATGACTTCGAGATATACAAATCTGTGGCGGAGGGAAGGTAGGATAGTGGTCAGTCTAAGAAAGGTTGGAGGGAGGGGGTAAGGGAGGTTTTGTGTGCGAGAGGCTTAGACTTCCAGCAAGCGTGCATGAGCATGTTAGACGAGCGAATGGAGACAAATAGTTTTTGGGACTTGACGTGCTGTTGGGTTGTAAGCAAGGTAACATTTATGAAGGGATTCAGGGAAATCGGTAGGCTGGGCTTGAGTCCTGGAGATGAGAAGTACAGTGTCTGCACTCTGAAGGACGGGTGTTAATGTTGCAGTTTTATAACTTTAGTGTAGGCATGCCTCTGGCAAGACAGTGATGGAGTGAATGATGAAAGTTTTTCTTTTTCAGGCCACCGTACCTTGGTGGGGAACAGCCAATATGTTAATAAAAAAGAATATTGAGGATATGAAGCAAATCAGACGAGGTATTCACAGGTGATCACATAGAAACCCAATATGCCAGTTTCTTTAATAAAATGGCAAATTAGGACATGCACAGCCCAAAGCTAATTCAAGCCATCCACTAAGAAACACCAGCTTCAGAGCTGAACTGAAGAGGCATTCTCTTATATCAGAGAGACCAAATATCTTAAAATACACAGCACATTGAACTTGAAGCTGTTTAGAAATTGAAGTCTTTAAGATACCTGGATGCAGCACTCAGAAAATGTGATATGAAAAGCATTTTCTGCATTTTTTATTAATTTGCCAAATTATATTTTTTTTAGCATTATATATTAGCATGGATCTTTTACACAATAAATATATTACATACTAATAGTTTTTGCTACCCTTCTTTTACCAAAAAATAAATATTCATGTAGTGAAAATTCACAACCCACTTTGTTTGAAATGCACCCACTGGAACCTTTATGGTTACCCATGCATCAAAGACCCTGACTGGGGGCCACCTATAATAGCAATTTATAGCAAAATTTGGCAAAAGTGACGAGCAGTTATGTCTTGGAAAAGGTCGTTCTACAATATACTGAGAGAATTTATAATTCAGCTCACTCACTGAGTGTCTGTGGTTTGTTCTCCAGTACAGGTGGAAATGTTGGGCATGTTTCCTTACACCTGCTGCCCCCTGTTCACCTAGCAGTCAGTAGGTACCTGGATGTTAGTAGACTGGTGTGGGTTGCATCTGGGGAGGGGAGGGGGTAGTATGCCTTGGGTAAGGCTGGGCTTTGAAGTGAGCTGAGGCAGGATAACAGCTCTTAGCCTGTAAAATTTGTGTAAAAAAACAAAAAACTCAGTATGTCTACACTGAGAGACACACCTCATGGTGTATACATCTTGTGTGATGTATTTATTGGTTGGTGAATGTATTTTGAAGGCTGTCAACTACATGAGGGACATTAAAGCAGCATGCCATCTGTTAACCACATCAAGAATGCTTTAATTCCTAATGTAGGGATTAAACACTTGGCAAATATAGACTGAGACATACCTCATGGTGTATACTGTATATCCTGTGATTATTGGACATGCCTCTCCTCAGTTAAGGGAAGGAGAGAGGGAAGTTAGTTGCAGGATGGATTATGATCTGCACCACAAGCTGGGCATTCTGCCAGTGATCTGTAATATCTTGTCAGATGGCCAAAGCACCACAAATAATTCTGGTGCTTTGGCCGTCTGGCATTGTTTGGAGTTCCCTAACATGTAAGCAGTGTCCTGCAATATAAACAAACGATGGTAGGTCTTGGCGATCAATAGGGCAGTTTAGGTACATTGCTCCAATAAAATGTATGACTGCAGGCATGGCAGACACAAGTTTCCACTTTAGTGACTGGGAAGTTTTAGAGCTTGAGTTCTTCATGAATGTTTGGGCTGCACTGTATAAACTCTTGCTTTATTATCGTGTGTGAGATGATAGTTTCACAGTTCAAACTGAGGGACAAGTGTATGTGAATAGTGACTAGGACATTGTTGATAATGTGCATTTGAAAAAGACTGGTGGCCTGGTCTGTATCATGTACATTGACAATACACATCCCACTCAAGAGCATAGAAGGAGAAATTTGGGGCAATAGATTTAATGAGTTCTTTGCTAATACATACTATAGTTTGTGAGATAATCCATATGGGATGTTGGAGGGGAAAAGACTTTTACCCAGGTTTTCAGAATGGTATATTTGTAGGGATGTGAATGAAAAGGTATGGCAGCATATATCAAGGTCTTTTGGGTGATGACTTTGAGCCAGTCTATCCCCTGATGTGCAGTCTGAAAATCATTGCTACATCATGGAAGAAGCCAGGGTCATAGTCAAAGATTGAAGGACAGAGGAATCAAAGGGATCAGATAGAATGCCAGTACCTGGGTCTGGCAACAAGGGGCTACTTGAAAGTGATACCAGGTTCTGAGGAGAGTCAGGCTGCATGCAGGGAATAATCAGTGAGTGTAGCTAATTGTACGGGTAGAAAGATTATTATCCACATAATAATAATAATTACTTTCAGCTCTATTAACCCAACCAACCATCTAGCCCAACAAGGAAAAGCTTACCTGTTGACTAAAAGAAACAAACCCATGGTTAATAGAAAGGTATACATGAGTGACCAACATATTGCTAAATGTCAGCTACAGGACCAGACTGGTACCTACTCACTGATGTTCACTTGGCCCTAGCCCAATACATCACTCTGTCAGACAGGGTAGAGAAACAACAAACCAGTTGATTAATTTAAGCAGGGCCCACACCGAGCTTCTTGTTTGACCTCTATGCCCTTACCTGAGGGCCGCAACTCCAATGGCAGACTCAGCTTTTGAGTTCATAGGTTACTGTCCACTTACCATGCACAGTAACCTGTAAGTGCACAGGGCAGTATTTAGTTTGGTCTCTACATTACAGCCATTCTGAGGAAGCCGCAGCCCACCCAGTAAAGCGATTTTCCCACTGGGTATATAAAGAACCTGATATCAATGGGAACAAGCCCCAGTGCATACAACACATTTGAAATGTAATACCACTTTAGATTTTTTTTTTAACCTCAATGACTGTCTCCCAAAAAGGTAGGATGATGCCCCAAAAAACGGAAACACATTTACAATAATTCATTCGATTGCTGTCGTGCCAGAAGTGTGTGACAACATAATTCAGATGACTCTTCAACTCTTAACAACCCCATCCCCTACTTCAGAGTGCAAGGGTCATACTTCTCACCTCCAGGACTAAAGTTCAGCTTACCAATTTTCCCTTAATTCCTTCCTAAATACTACTTTACTCACACTCTATTCATGCTTCATGCCTATCTAGTATGCTCAAACAAGCCTGATTTATGAATTTAGAAAAGGCATATGATAGAGTGGATAGGGGGACAATGTGGCAATGTTGCAAGTATATGGAATAGGTAGTAAGTTACTAATTGCTGTAAAGAGTTTTTATGAGGATAGTGAGGCTCAGGTTAGGGTGTGTAAGAGAGAGGGAGACTACTTCCCAGTAAAAGTTGGTCTTAGACAGGGATGTGTAATGTCACCATGGTTGTTTAACATATTTATAGATAGGGTTGTAAAAGAAGTAAATGCTAGGGTGTTGGAGAGAGGGGTGGGATTAGATTATGGGGAGTCAAATACAAAATGGGAGTTGACACAGTTACTTTTTGCTGATGATACTGTGCTTTTGGGAGATTCTCGAGAAAAGTTACAAAGGCTAGTGGACAAGTTTGGGAGGGTGTGTAAAGGTAGAAAGTTGAAAGTGAACATAGATAAGAGTAAGGTGATGAGGGTATCAATTATTATTATAATCAAAGGGAAGCGCTAAACCTGAGGATATACAGCGCCTGAGGGGATGTGAGGCATTCGGCTTAATTCGGGAACTGAGCACAGATCCAATTCCTAAATCAGAGCCCCTCACCAAATCAAAGGACCTTTCCCTTGGGGATGAGGGTATCAAACAATTTTGATAAAGAAAAATTGGACTATCACATTGTAGAGAGGGAGTATGAAAGAAGTGAATGTTTTAATATTGGGTTGATTTGTCAGCAGATGTTTAAAGGACGAGTTAACCATAGAATTGCATGAGGGAAAAATGGTGAGTGGGCATTGAGGTATTGTGGACCAAAAGAGTTTCCATGGAGCAGAGAAGGATGTCAAGAATGGTCATGTTATATGGGGAAGATGGCTGTAAATGCGCAGCGAGGAGCTGGAGGCAGTGGAAATGTCGTGTCTAAGGGCAATGTGTGGTGTAAATATTATGCAGAGAATTTGTAGTGTGGAAATTAGGAGGATGTGTGGAGTTACTAAAAGTATTAGTCAAGAGGGCTGAAGAGGGGTTGTTGAGGTGGTTTGGTCATTTAGAGAGAATGGAACAAAGTAGAAAGACTTGGAGAGCATATAAATCTGTAGGGGTCATCCTTGAAAAGGTT